TCGTTGGATTTCATAAGGAGTGCAAAAAATAATATCAAGTACGATCATAACAATTTTTATTGCTACAATTATTAAAATTATATAAATAAATTCGTGTACAGGTGCGCCACAACGAAGGGGTCATTTATTAATGCATCGTTATTTGCAGAGTTGGGCAAAATTTATTCGAATGACGAATAACAAATGAATAAATTGTTTTTCTTGTTATTCGTAGATAATAAATAATTTTGTTTATTCAAAAAAAAATTATTCGAATGACGGATAAATTATTTTATTCGTTATTCGAATAATTAATATCTTCATTAATTATTCGAATAACGAATAAAATAATAATAAAACAAGTAATTTATGTATATAGATATGTACATATATTTATGTATAAAATGATAACCGTTTTCGTTGTTGCGATTTAACTCAAACCCCTGGATAGATTTAAGTCAAACTTTCGGAGGTTATTCCCTGCGCATCAAGTCCTATTAAAGGCTACTAGAAAACTCCTTGGTGGCGATGAAGCCGAGTTATTTATAAAAGCCGTATTTATGAACCGATTGCGTTCANTTTACTGATTTCGTTCAAATTCAAAATGTGTTCTTCCTGCATGATGAAAAATACTTATGCGAAAAATGGACCCGCTAGGTGGCGCTGCAGTTGAGTTATTTAGAAAATCCCTATTTATTGTACAATCAGGTTGCAATTCATAATGGTGCTGCTGTCGAAATCATTAGTCATATGTCTGCACTACTTTGTTTTTTATGTTTATATTATACGAATTTACGATGTCTCACGTCGTCATACACCCTAAATAAATGTGACATTGCATCTACCTCCGCTTGATGAAATTGCTCGGACGGCCATTGCTGCAGCAGTAAGACTCAAGGAATCCAGCTCTTGGATATTTTAAAAGTGGCGAATCAGCAAGGAAAGTTTCGACCACATCCTTCCAAGAAAGACCACTGTTGGTATATCAATGGCCAAATTTTACTTCGAGGATTTTTGGCTCTCTTATAATAGAAAACGCACATCTGTGCTCTTCAGCTTCCTTATAAGGACTTGTGTTGGCCTACATGACATAAGACTAGAGGTTGACGCATCGGACCAATGTTGTAGTTGCAAGATCATAGAAGAAGATTACGCACGCTTAGAAAAGATCTCACAAGTGGAAACAAGACCATCGGTAAAGCTCATGATATTGAAAGGGATTTTTTCTTGCATATAGCATCAGAGCGCAATTTTTTTTGGCAGAAATATGTGTGAGAAGGGTTCTGTTCTTTAGTTGTTCAACCTAAATTAAGAATTTTTACTTTACCCATATTTGGTTTTCAACGCTATTCTTGCATTGGCCAACGCAAAAAATCTTATCAAGGGCCGCGAAACCAGAGGGAATGGGCTAGTATTCTTGATAAAATAGTAAACAGGATTCAGCTAACTCTTAATCCTTGACAATAGAAATAAATGTAAAAGGTGGCTCAATGTGTTAAAAATGAGTTTTTATTCATTATTTAAAATAACGAATAAAATAACGAATAAATTATTCGAAAGCAATTTATTCACGAATAATTTATTCGTGAATGAGTTATCAGCGAATAATTATATTACGGATAAAATTTTATTCGAATAATTATCTAAATAACAATTTATTCGAATAATGCCCAACTCTGGTTATTTGCATTAGCTGAAGAGGAAAATGTTTCGAATGATGATGAAATTTTGGCAACTGCTGTGGCACTCTCAAAAACCATGAGCACAGAAACTAACAAAGGTAAAGTTGACATTAAACCTGTAGCCTACCAATGGTTTAATCTTCGAATAAATAAATTTAAGCGAAAGGTATACAATTTTAAGAAAAAGCATTTGCTTGAAACTTTCACTTTCTTATACTACAATTGAATGTGTGTATGTATGTACTACAGATCCCATTTTCATTCTTTTACATACACACATGTAAATATGTATCAAAATAAGCGTGAAAAGTTAAGTACATAAACAGAAGGAATAAAAATACCAATATTTAAAATATGATTATATCATAAAACCAGTATTTTTATTTTAAGGGGAAAATAACTAAAAAATATATACACATTCTTGTACTTCGCTTAAAAAAAGNACTTATGTACTAAATAAAAAACAGTTTGAACGCTACATATCTATATACATATATACAGTGGCGCTCACCTTAATAGCACACTTTTATTTTTTACAATTTTCACACTGTTTTACGTGATAAATTTTTTTCGTTAATTGTTTATAAAAATATTGTAGATTCTATAACATAAACCATATAGTATATATCACGTAAAACATTGTGAAAATTGTGAAACATAAAAGTGTGCTATTAAGGTGAGCGCCACTGTCCATCTAACGTAAATTTTATAATAATCAAAGACTATTACACAGTGTGGACCGACCAGCAAAACCACGGGTAGTGGCCCAAACACCCAACAGAATCTTTCTTCCAATGAGGAAGCTATATACAAACTGATTGGGATGAAGGAAAGTGTTGAAGGCATATCTGCATCTACTTTTGGATTGCCACTTTCAAGTGTGTCTAAGACCATTGTAGAACCTGAGCGAGACGAGTCAGAATGTGTAGAGTATTTAAAGGAAGTATGTATGTAGTTAAAATATATTAAGGAACCATCATAAAATTAGTACTATTTTGGGATTTTTAACTTTTTCATATATTTTCTTCCCCAACTTTGACTATCTCTGGTGAAAAAAAATATACCGAGCTAGAACTTTACAATACATAAAAAAATTGCTCATTTAATAAAAATTTCAGAAAGGTGACAATCTTACTGTTTCGAATAGAAAAAAAAGTTATAGCCGCTTTTGTGGGCAAAGGACTGAGACACAATAGAATGTATTTAGTAGATTTAAATTTAAGTTACCGACCAATGAGATGCTAAATAGTGCAAAGTTACATTATTACCTGCTCCTGACATTATTTTATGTTACTTACCGGAATTAGTGAAAGTGGATTTTGTGAAATTGGACCCTTCGAACATTGTGTTATTAATACTATGACAGAGAACACGCAGTATACGTCGCATGAATATGCGGATATTCACCTAATTTACGGTGAAGCTTGCTGTAATGCCAGAGCTGCTCAAAGACTCTATGCAGAGCGATACCCCAATCGTCGACATCCGGGTCGTGAAGTATTCGCCCGGATCCATAGAGAAATATATGAAGGTAAGTGATTTTTACACCTTTCTTGTTTGCTTGCTTGTTAACTATCATTTTTCACTTTTTTCAGGTCGCATACCTGGAAGGCGTGGCGGCGAAACAGGACGTCCTGCAACGGTAGATGTTGAAGTTGTGTTAGAGGAAAATGAACTAAATCCATCGACTTCAGTGAGAATGATGGAAAGACGGACGGGAATACCAAAAACTACAGTTCACAAAGCTTTAAAAGACCATCGATTTCATCCCTACCACATTCAACGTGTTCAGGCTCTACAAAAAAGAGATTACCTGTCGAGGGTTAGATTTTGCCGTGAAATGTTGCGAATGCGTGGGAGATAGACAATCCTCACGAAATGAGAGAAGATCGTTCGCAGTACCGGTACAAAATAAATTTATGGTGCGTTATTTTTAATTGTCAGATATTGGGACCTGTGGAACTGCCGCCAACGCTCAACTCTCACAGTTAATTAGAGTTCCTTCAGGAACGGCTTCCAACTCTTTTGGAAGATGTACCCTTAAACCTGCGGCGAAGACTATGGCTGCAAAATGACGTGTGCCCTGCTCACTACGGGCGTGAAGTAAGAGCTCATTTAGACGAAACTTATCCTCGCCGATGGATTGGACGATACGGGCCAATCAAGTGGCCCGCTCGACAGACCTGAATCCATTAGATTTTTTATGCTGGGGCTGTCTTAAGGACTAGGGACACGAATTTCGATACGATACGATACCATTTCGATACTTTTGGCATTCTATACCGATATTTTTTACTCGATAGTTTTAAAGCGATATTTTTTGGAATCGAGTACCAGAACCCTAGTATCGTATCGAATGTCTAAAACTCAAATTAATAAGATAATCACCCTCATTGCGAGAGTCGTGTAGAATGCAAGTCGTTTTTCGAGGGTCGAATCATATCGATAATTTCACGTCATTGCCTAAAACTTCCACTCGACTAGTGTATTAAAACGGAAAAACTTGGCAGCACTGTATAGTTTCCGAAGCTTTTCGTCGTTTACTTATTTCGGCACGACAGTAGGCAATGCCAATATTGTCGAGTCGTACAATTTAGCCTAATTTACGACTTAAAGAAGAGAAATTTGTACTNAATTGGGCTTTAAAGAAGAGAAATTTGTACTATAGTTTAGATTGCATGTAGCGGGATTTGAACCCACGGCCTCGGTGTTTTAAGTCAACATCTCTACGCGTAAAAATAATAATAGATTGGCGTTTACACAATATGTTAGTGTTTGGCCGAGCTTCTCCTCCGATTTGTCGCGTGGCCTTGGTATTGTGCCATAAAGGGGGTCCCTACTGTTTTACGCCACTCTAAACGGCGCACATAGGGGTATTTGGCCGCTTTAGGCGGGCAAAAACATTTTTATGAAAATTGTATTTCAAAATGTTTAGAAAAGACGTTACGATGTCTAAAATTGTAAATGTTTAAAATCAAGTAAATATAGGTGGAGGACGTACAATTATTCCTCCAAAGCAACGAAAATAAAGTTGGTTATAGTTTGACACCGATAGACTCTATGTTGCCGGGTCCGATTGTAGAAACACGCATACCTACATACGTGTTCGTCTCGGCGATGTTTATATGTAGGTTAGTACATGCAAAGAGTTGCCACCTGGTAAAAACTTAAATATAGTTAAGTTAACTGAATTACTACAATATCTGTATCGATTGAAATGGTTTTGAAAGGCTTCATTTCTAAACAACATGTGGCAGGGTTACCACCTGTTTAAAAATTAAATTCAACTTTAACTAAGGAATAACAGACAAATTATTTTTTTTTATAATGTTGCTCAAATTTGTTTTTATTGTTAAAATGCGTATAGACTTCCTTGAGATATAAGTTACAAAAAAAAAAAAGATGGAAATAACCGATTTTACCATGTAATGCAATGGATAATAAATGTGTAATTGAATTCTAAAACCAAATTTGGGTAAACAACTGTTTTAGGATGATGATGAGTGCCAAGATTCTTCATCGGACCCTTCTTCCTCTTCTGAAGACTCTCCAGACTTCGTGTCATCCTTAGTTGGTTAAGCTGGAAGCAACATATCGATTTCTTCCTTTGAAAAGGGTTTGGTTGCCTTTTTTGGCTTTGAGTGGATCAGAGCTTAGGAGTGACCTGTTCAGAACGACCAGATCGCGGCTGTGGCATACCTTTGGGAATTGAAAATGTTCCTTGTAGCCATGTTACGTTACTTTTAAAAATCTTCTTTTCCACGGGCTTTTATCCACCTTTGTATAAACTGTGATTTTAGTTGTGAAAATTTGTGCTTTATATATCTTATTTGCTCATCGGAGAAGGTGTCAGATTATAATATATCAATTTGAAGAAACAAGTTTTGTGATGTTAATCAATATATTTCGATTACACACGGTAATCGTCATCAGGATTTTCAACTACAACAAAATATAAACACAAAAATTAATAACAATTTACATACATATTTTTAACACAACAAATTGCAAAACAATAATTACATACATTTATTTGAGCGTCCGCATCAGTTGACGTGGTGTTTTACACTGGTTTTCTGTTTGTCAACAAATGTCGGTACAAGTGTGCCGAGTTAGCATCGACGTCGCTTTTATAGTTCATTCGGTTGTTTGTTGGTGTATTTATAATGTGCAGCATTTCCAAAGTGAATCTCTTGCTATAATGCTGTTCTTGTTGGAGCACGATCGCTCTGTCGAAGTTCGGTGTATGTGAGTTTTTGGTACAGTGGGCCATGAGTGCTGTTTTTTGGTTATTATTTTGATGGCAATATTTGTAGTCTGATTTATGCTGTGATAGTCGTGATTTTAATTTTCCTTTTGTTGTTCCCACATATATGCTATCACATGGTTCATTTTCTTTTCCATTGCAAGGGATTTGGTAAACTACATTACTTTTTTCCAACGGCGGTATTTTTGTTTTTGTTTTATTAAACATATATTTTAGCGTATTGGTTGGTTTATGGGCTATTTTTATATCTTCTGTGTTGTAGCAATCTGACTTTACCAAACGCTCTGATAATTTTGGTACATAAGCTACTGACTTGAATATTTTTGTGGTTTCTAATTTATCGTGATTATTTTCAATTGCATATCTTCTTAACAGGGTTTTTATAATATTGTCGGGAAAATCATTGTTTTTTAATAATATTTTAATTTCATTCTTAATCTCTGTGTGGTAAGTGTCATCTGTTATCCGTAACATTCGCCGTATACAGCCCATTGCTGTATTTATAATCATCGTCTTTGGATGCTTTGAGTTAAAACTGATGATTCGTCCGCTTGATGTGGGTTTCTTATACCACGTTAGTTTCAGTTCATTTCCTCTTCTAATAATCATAGAGTCCAAATAAGGCAATTTTCCGTCGTCCTCAAGTTCTATTGTGAATTTTATATTTTTATTGAAGGAATTTAGTTTGTCAAGTGTGCTTTGTACTTCATCTTCACGTATTATTGCAAATAGATCATCAACGTATTTTGTTAGTAATCTAGGTGGACGTGCTAACTTTTTAACTGTGTTTTCTAATAATTCTTCCATGACTATATCAGCTATCACTGGGGAGGTTGGTGACCCCATCGGCAATCCTTTTAGCTGAGTGTATACTGTGTCGTTAAATTTAAAATATCTGTTCTCTTCGATTTACTAACAAAATACATTCGGAATGAACTATAAAAGCGACGTCGATGCTAACTCGGCACACTTGTACCGACATTTGTTGACAAACAGAAAACCAGTGTAAAACACCACGTCAACTGATGCGGACGCTCAAATAAATGTATGTAATTATTGTTTTGCAATTTGTTGTGTTAAAAATATGTATGTAAATTGTTATTATATTTTTGTGTTTATATTTAGTTGTAGTTGAAAATCCTGATGACGATTACCGTGTGTAATCGAAATATATTGATTAACATCACAAAACTTGTGTTTTAATTTAAAATCATCGGACCTCAAGCCAGCTTCTAAACACATTTAGGAAATAAAAAGGTCGCAAAAACAAATATTTAATTTGAAGAAACTTTATTTTGTTCTCAAAATTCATAGAGTTTTGTCGATGCATCTGATCGAATCAAGATTTTCGAGTTACTACTCTATAGCAGGAACCAGTTGGTGACTAAAGCAAAGGAAATACTTAAAAATGACAAAATATGTATGGAAACGAATTTTTAGATCTATCTTATTATTGGCCATAAAAAGCTCATCGGTAGCTTTCGGACGCTAATTTTTGTGCAGTATACTATCAAAGCTCCATTCTATAGAACGCAACTAGTAATGTAACGTGGAAATGCGTGAAAGTATAACTAAAAGCTTACGGTTTACAAAGTAATGAAAAAATAGTCACTAAAAAAATATAATATTTCCGATTACTGATATTATTACTTAGATTAAATTTTGCTAAATCGAAACTATTTAAAATAAATTTAGATTTACCTGTGCCTTCAGACTTCATAACAATTTTTAATTGTATAATGACCACAATAATAATAATCACTTTTGAACGCAACTGTTTCACAATGAATGCGTAAAATAAAACGTGCACTATCACAAACTGACAAGTTGCGATTGAGATACTCCGTCAAAGCGGCATCATAAGTTCGGGGTAGGGGTTGCCTATTGTTCCGCAACAATTCAACTGTGGCAGGTAGTATTTTTTTTTTATTCCTACGATAAGTTTAAAAAATAGACTTATGACCGCCTAGATCGATCAAATACCCCTATGTGCGGCGATTGTATTTTTTTATGAGAAGCTGTTTTCCTTGGCAGAAATACACTCGGAGGTTTGCACACTTCTAGTCACTACACCACAGAGGCCTACATACGACACCAATGCACAGTGGTTGCTGTCATAGGCCAAAATTAAAAAAAATGTATGTAAAATTTTTTTAACCAAAATGGGCTTTGCAATCAGTTATTTGTCCAAACTTCATGTTGTCATATATTTTTTGTTTTAATTCTAACGGTTGTTTCTGAAAAAAGCAACAAAACTATCATCAATTGTTCATTTTATTTGTACAGCGTCAGCACGCTGAAAATTGAATTGGATTTAACGTAATTAAAATATTGTGAAAAGCCGAGTGAGTTGAAATTGTATGCAATGGATATTGTACATAAAGGTATTGACTTTATTTCTACAATTAAACTTTTAGATAATTTGTGTTGTGTTCTATGCAAATCGTTCAAAATTTGCTGGGTGCAACAGCGAAAGATATTGAATATGAGGGTTTCGAGCCAGATCGCTATGATTTGCAAAAATGTATTAATTACGTTTGTAAAAAATTTGCATTGTTTTGGCAAAGACCCAAACGCCAAAAATCAGCAGTTCCACCAATTCAAATCGTGGTGCCCGAAAATAGATTTTGTTGAGTCTTCAAAAAGACTAAGCGTCGGCGAACATATCGGGATAAAATTATTATCCTACGGTCTGTTAAAATAAAAACTGTAATATGTAAAAGTGGTCGGGGTTGGACACGCCCACATACAGTCATGTGAACAATAATAGGGACACGACATTGTGATCAGTTTCGGCTATATTTTTTTGTTTGTTTAATGTTTATTTTTTTTATAAAAATACAACTCACTATCTAACAAAAAACTAATTTCAAACTTTGTAAAAAATAGATAAAATCAACAAAATTTTAAAACACCACCAAACTTTTTAAATAAGTACTTTTAGAAAAAAGTTATGTATGCAGTTTTATAGCCCACTGAATTCTAGCTCAAGATAGTGCAAGTCTTAAATGTCTAAGAAATCGCTTTGATGTTTGATAATTTTTTTTTTCTGACGGTGTCACGCATTTTCTTCCATTCAAAGTATGTTTGACATTTTTTTTATGAAAGCAAATAGTAACACCATCCGCAAAAAAAAAATTATCAACAATCAACGCCAATTTTTAGCCACTTCGAACTTGCAATTTCTTAAGCTAGAATTTAATGGGCTTTAAAACTGCACACCTAGCTTTTTTCTAAAAGTTCTTATTAAAAAGATTTGTGTGGTTTTAAAATTTTGTTGAATGTTTCTACTTTTTTTATAAAGTTTGAAACTTGGACTTATGTGGGTTTTTTTAGATAGTGAGTTGTGTTTTTATAAGAAAATAAAAGATAAACAAACAAAAAAACAAAAATAGCCGAAACTGGTCACAATGTCGTCTTCCTGTTATTTTTCACATGACGGTATTTGGGCGTGTCCAACCCCGCCCACTTTTACATATTACAGTTTTTACTCTTAACAGACCTTAGGGTAAACATTTTATCCCGATATGTCTATTAAAAGTATTTTTGGCCGCTCTCCCCATATAACTGCAACCACTATGCAATGTTAAAAATTTTGTTTCGATTTTGGCATCGATATTTGGGATATCGAGTCTTTTTATTCCGATATTAATGGGTATCCGATATTTTTACAGCGATACTTTAAATGAGTACCATATCGATACTTTCCGTTCGATATCGTGTCCCTATTAAGGACAACGTTTATTCAACAACAATTCAAAACGAAGAGCATTTGCGGGAACAAATAAATGGAGCTGCTGCTGAGATATTGAGTTTAAGATCTCTAAAAGCGTCTTTTTTTAAAAGGTGCCGAGCTTGTAATAGAGTAGAAGGTCGCCAANGCCCGCTCGATCGCCAGACCTGAATCCATTAGATTTTTTCTACTGGGGCTGTCTTAAGGACAAAATTTATTCAAAAACAATTCAAAACGAAAACGAAGAGCATTTGCGGGAACAAATAAATGGAGCTGCTGCTGAGATATTGAGTTTAAGATCTCTAAAAGCGTCTTTTTTTAAAAGGTGCCGAGCTTGTAATAGAGTAGAAGGTCGCCAATTTGAGCATATTTTATACATAAATGAATACATTTTTCTTCAAACAACTCATGTATATTTTATTTCACGTGAACCCATCCTTCACAAAAAATATTGATAGATATAGCCCTTGTTATAGACTCTAGTTCGACTTTGTTGCTTTTCCAATTTTTCCTAATAAACAATCGTGGTACAAAGCTCAATAAAAACATTAAAAATAAAATGTTAATAAGCCACAATAACATTGACCAATACATAGTTTAGGAAGAGCCTGCCTGAAACTATACAATAAAGCAAGTAAGCAAATNGTTTCTACTTTTTTTATAAAGTTTGAAACTTGGACTTATGTGGGTTTTTTTAGATAGTGAGTTGTGTTTTTATAAGAAAATAAAAGATAAACAAACAAAAAAACAAAAATAGCCGAAACTGGTCACAATGTCGTCTTCCTGTTATTTTTCACATGACGGTATTTGGGCGTGTCCAACCCCGCCCACTTTTACATATTACAGTTTTTACTCTTAACAGACCTTAGGGTAAACATTTTATCCCGATATGTCTATTAAAAGTATTTTTGGCCGCTCTCCCCATATAACTGCAACCACTATGCAATGTTAAAAATTTTGTTTCGATTTTGGCATCGATATTTGNTTAGACGAAACTTATCCTCGCCGATGGATTGGACGATACGGGCCAATCACGTGGCCCGCTCGATCGCCAGACCTGAATCCATTAGATTTTTTCTACTGGGGCTGTCTTAAGGACAAAATTTATTCAAAAACAATTCAAAACGAAGAGCATTTGCGGGAACAAATAAATGGAGCTGCTGCTGAGATATTGAGTTTAAGATCTCTAAAAGCGTCTTTTTTTAAAAGGTGCCGAGCTTGTAATAGAGTAGAAGGTCGCCAATTTGAGCATATTTTATACATAAATGAATAAATTTATTTGCTTACTTGCTTTATTGTATAGTTTCAGGCAGGCTCTTCCTAAACTATGTATTGGTCAATGTTATTGTGGCTTATTAACATTTTATTTTTAATGTTTTTATTGAGCTTTGTACCACGATTGTTTATTAGGAAAAATTGGAAAAGCAACAAAGTCGAACTAGAGTCTATAACAAGGGCTATATCTATCAATATTTTTTGTGAAGGATGGGTTCACGTGAAATAAAATATACATGAGTTGTTTGAAGAAAAATGTATTCATTTATGTATAAAATATGCTCAAATTGGCGACCTTCTACTCTATTACAAGCTCGGCACCTTTTAAAAAAAGACGCTTTTAGAGATCTTAAACTCAATATCTCAGCAGCAGCTCCATTTATTTGTTCCCGCAAATGCTCTTCGTTTTGAATTGTTGTTGAATAAACGTTGTCCTTAATAGGGACACGATATCGAACGGAAAGTATCGATATGGTACTCATTTAAAGTATCGCTGTAAAAATATCGGATACCCATTAATATCGGAATAAAAAGACTCGATATCCCAAATATCGATGCCAAAATCGAAACAAAATTTTTAACATTGCATAGTGGTTGCAGTTATATGGGGAGAGCGGCCAAAAATACTTTTAATAGACATATCGGGATAAAATGTTTACCCTAAGGTCTGTTAAGAGTAAAAACTGTAATATGTAAAAGTGGGCGGGGTTGGACACGCCCAAATACCGTCATGTGAAAAATAACAGGAAGACGACATTGTGACCAGTTTCGGCTATTTTTGTTTTTTTGTTTGTTTATCTTTTATTTTCTTATAAAAACACAACTCACTATCTAAAAAAACCCACATAAGTCCAAGTTTCAAACTTTATAAAAAAAGTAGAAACATTC